GCAGCCAATCAATGTTTCTCTTTCATCATTGATGTTTTTATCTCTTCCTCTTTCTGAAATCAATAAAAAAAATTAAAAATTTTAAAAAGAGTTGACATTAAAAAAGAATATGGATAGTAGATTAAGAGATTGGCATTTTTTTAGCATCTGTTATAAACCTGTGCCTTGTATGTATAAACCTTACAAACTTCAGTTAGATGTTATTGTTTTTTCTAGTATTTACATAGGCTCAGAGGAGTGTGTTGCTCAAGATTACATATACAAGAAGCAGAATCAGCACTAGTTCACAGGTGTGTATATAATGCTACATTCCAGGGCAGTGAGAGTAGAGAAATCCTCCAAAATCTCCCAGGTTCTCAGTGAATGCAAAAGCAATACTCTTAGGCATGAAGAGAGGCTGTGTGAGTTCTCAAGATCCTTCTTTATTTAAAGTTATTTTGTCCCCACTTAAGGACAGCTAGTATGTACCATGATGTTCTTTCATAAAGCACTTTGCAAACATTCTTCCCACTAAAAAGCATTACCTTAACTTTCCTGAGAAAGAGCCAATATTTCCCAAGCAGTCAGCACACTCCTGGCACACATAATAGGCCCTCATTAAATGTTGGTTAGTCCTACTTTTCTTCTCATCAGTGTTATCAAGGTTTATGAGTTACCCTGACATTTGTTCTTTACTTGTGGGTATTCTTGTTTCACAGTTAAAAACAGTGGGAAGAGTCTCCAAATGGTATTAATCAGTAGTAACCACAATAAACAAAACAAAGAGGGTTTCTTTACTGCAGTACTTCTCAGAATCTTCAACATGTTCATGGACACTGAGACTCCTGGAGGGAAACGTGGTATGAAATACTTGGAGCACACTTTTTTTTTTTTTTTTTAACGAAGAAACCATTTATTTGCTAATCATCTCGGGGGACCAGTGCTGCAGTGAGATCAATATTAGGAAACACATTGTTCCTGTGGCGAAGAGCAGCTGGATCACCTACCCGCTCACCTGCTTTCACAAGTCTTTCCGTTTGTTTTGTTTTGTTTTATTTTGTTTTGTCCCTCTACCTCCAGCTCCTCAATCAGTCCATTTCTTGCCTTTTGTGTCCATTCTCTCCTTTTCTGCCAGTTCAGATTTGTGGGCATTAATCCTCCAAGAACTCAGGTGAAGAGATGCTTAATGTGTGGTAACAGAATAAAGCAGGTAATTCTTTTTAAAAAGTCCGACGCTGACCAGAATCTTCTGGGCTCATTTGAGGATTACCACATAGGAAACAGAGAAACCCTGGGGGAGGCCGGGAAAGCTAGGGGAAGGCAGGCGGAGACAAAACGAGGATGTGGAGGAATACGCTCAGCCCTGCCAACAGTAAGCTCTAGGGTGTTGGCTTACCTGTCTGCCAACCGTAAGGGCTGATTTTCCTTTCTAAATGCCAGCCCTGTGCCACGTGATTTACATGCAGTACCTCATGTAATCATCACCGCACCCTGACAAGGCAGGACCTAGCCTTATCTTCATTTTACTGACGGGGTAACTGAGGCGGAACTTGCTCAAGGTCTCAAGGACAGTAAGTGATAGAATCACAACCCAGACTCAGGAGATTTGACCCTAGAATCTGCTCTCTCAACCAGTATCCTGCCTTAGCTCTTTATAGAGGTTACATACAGTGTGTTTTTTTTTAAACCACAGAAAGACTAAACATATTAGCTTAAAATTATAGAGGTGAAACTTCCAGAAGGCCTGGATAAGGCCAAGAAAATGATCCAAATCGTATATGGCCCTGGGATTTTCTGATTTGAAATCAGAAACCTCCTTGCTTCTAAATAAATGCAATGCTATTATAGATATAATGGAGAATGAACAGCTCACATTCAAGCTTCATTTCGTTTAGCAACTGTACCAAAATAATAAAACTTTGCCATGAATCAAAAGAGAATATCTATCCTTTAACAGTGTGCATAAACCTGCCTGCAGTATACATTTTGCAAACAATATTAGAGAGAGACTTTTGGAGGAGAGCCATGTCTGAAACCCCGCGGCAACCTGGTGCTTCACGTTGTGCTATAAAAAGCGAGCTGTGACCTTCCAGGGACACAGGAAAGGACCAGTTTGTGCTCCTTCTCTTTTCTTATTCACCATCCCCAGTCTTCCTCATTCCATTTCCGCATGAACTCTGTGGGTATTAAATGAAGCTGGGTCTATTCAATATTTCTCTCCAATCTTCCAAGAAAAATTGATTCTGTTTTCTTTGGGCAATCAATAGGCAGTTTCTGCATTGCTATACCATTCTGATGATGTATTTCTCCAGTTGTTTTTCTTAGGGGACACTTTTTTTTTTTAAGATAAAACTTTCCAGAGTCATCTGAATTCATCAAACTATTTTAAAACTGTCATTGTCGTTGTTGTCAAGGCTGGAGGCACCCACTGGTGATAATCTCGGTCCGTTTTCTCTAAACCCTGGCTGCCTGCCTGCTAAGTGTTCAACCTCTGTCTGAGTTCCAGTCACTTTGCAATAAAAATATTTCCAGTACTTGTCCCCACCAAACACCTGCCATTTCCTTGGCTTTTCAGTTGGCCAGGAAGGCACGCATTTTTCTGGCCCAATAAAGACGTGGGCTCTGTGTGCTCCTGGCCCGCGTGTACCCACTGGTCATGCCGTTATTTTTCTTTTTCACTCACAGTAGTCACCCTTTTAAATGGTACATTTCAGCATTCTATTTGCTGAGAAAATCGAGCTTCTCTTGGACCGCTTGATTGAAAGGGCACTTTTAAGAGGATTAGTGCTGATAGAAGAAAAGGTGAAAATAATTTCTTCTTTCCTTCTTTTTTTTTTTTTTAACTCTTCAAATGAAGCTATAGATTTATGGATTGGCATAAAGTATCCAGCAAGTAGATTTTAAAAGGTAAAAAAATATTAGCTACACCATTAGAAAAGAAACAGTAGAATCACAGTATGTTTTTCTGAACTTTTTTTTTCCTCATGAGAAGTTATCTGTACATGGGGAGATTTAATTAATGGTTCAACTCCGTGTGGTGAATGACTTGCACTATACAGTTGACTTTAGAATGTAACTTTTAAATGGGAGGGAAATGGACAAGGAGCAATAGAGAACATATGTGTAAACTACTAAGAAAATATTAGTGGTGAAGAATACCAGCCAAAATCACATCTGGCAGAAGCACTGTCAAGCTCATTGGCAGTTCCTGTTAGCAGGGCTGTGCCCTCGGCCTTCGCATTAGGTAGAGCCCATTTCTTGTTCACTCTCTAACTTACACAGTTCCATGTGGCTCAGCATCCAGGAGAATTAGCTCACTGCCACAAACTCCTAGAACTTTATATGACTGCCTTAACAGGTGGTACAAACAAATTAACCTGGCAATTTTTGTCAGAGAGCATTTGAAAGTGTGTTTTGAGCAGGGATTCTTTTAGAAGAACCGTGGATGCTTTTGAAGATTGGCAGCGAGCCCTGGTAATGCTGAAACTGATTATGTTGAGTGGGATTGCAAACTGGGCCACAGTTTCCCCTCCTGCTCCCTCTTCTGGGCCTTTCTGCTTTGACTTACACAAATCAGGGGCCATATGAGAGAGATGGGTCTCATCCCACTGACCACTTGAGCTCTGCCCTCACTGTGCTACATACATTTCAGCAGAGGCTCACATTGCAACCAGGAAGAACTGTGAGACTGAGCATCAGCTAGAGATGAAAGCAGCGTGGTGTTTCACCTCCTGGCCACAGGCAGAGAAGCATAGCTACCACTTAGGGTAGAGCTTTCAGGTAAGAGCAGAGAACTGTACTAGACGTGCACTTTCCGTCCCAAACTTCCTAAGAGGTCTCACGTGGGGCATTGCTGTTCTGAGCCTCGCCTCCCTGCAGTGCGTGGCAGCCTCCACCACTTCACCCAGGCTTCTGCCTCGAGTGAATCCTCTGTAAATTCAATGTTGAACTGGCTGTACTTCAAATTCCTGGATTTTAGGCCCTACCAAAATTTTAGTTTTTAGCTGTATTTTCCATAAATTAACTCTATCAGGATTGGAACTGACAGTATTATAATATAATAGAAATGAAGGATATCACCAAAGTAATTTTTGAGTAATAGTTGCTATTTTTTTTCTTTTCTTTTTTTCCTTCTCAGTCCATTCAGCTATTCCTAAAGCTGCAATGTGGGGGCAGAAAAAGCTTGGAAGTCTGTTGTTTCCCTTATTCTATTCCATGGTTGGCCACTTTGGTTACACAAAGCAGGGTGGTCGCTGCTAATACTGAAGCAAGTGGATGTGGGCAGAACAAATTTTTAAATCCTAGCAAATTGCCCTCATGAGCAAGTCTTCGAAATGATTGGAGCAGCAATACTTTTACTTTTTCCTTTCACACATAGTTCAACATAGTTTTTAGATAAAAATGTAAATTACATGGGAGAAAGTGTCTCAAGATTTGTGTTTTCCAAGAATCATGCATTTTTCTTTAGCGTCTGGTACTTGTTTTTATTAAATTTCTTGTTTCTCTTCATCACATTTTCTCCAAGGTGATTAAGTCAGAAGCAGAGCCATATTGGGTGGGTTTGCACTTCCACTTTTAATCAAAATTAATGAAAGTCTAGCTGACCAAATTATTTTTGTCTAACACAATTTACCTACAATCAGATGGTGCCGCTGGCTGACTACCTGGTCCCAGTTTATACTGATGATCTCAAAGGACTTCCTGCTGTTGGAGATACCTTCAGGAGCCCAACATGTAATTCAGTTATGGAGAAATTAATAGGTTTTAATGTTCACTTCTTGTGAATATTTCCCTAAATGAAATAGACTAAGTTGAGAAGGGAGGTGGAATCTACATATGTTTTACCCACATGAACATCAGACACAGATTAGAACAACACCTCTGAAATCTGGCTATTGGCCTCTCCTAGGAAATTTTAAAAAACACATTATTTCCACTCCCACCCCACAACCCACTGAGTCACAATTATTATTGGTATGATGGGAGAGTGTGTATTTTTTTTTTAATACAAAACATTTTATTTGAAATTAGAAAGAAAAAAAAAACAGCAATACCTATAATCAGTTAAATTTTGAAACCACTGTACTAGAATGTTCTAAAATATCTAATGAGTAAGTAGCAATAGACCTAGAATAATTTTTGAGTGATCATACCAACAAGTGGAGGGGCTATATTATAAAATAATAGTCTTAACCTTATATTTTTAACTAATTTGACTCTTTGAAAATTATATTATTATATTAATGACTCCCAAATCTAACATTTAATTTCAGTTTTACAAATCAGTTCATTTGTTTAAAAAGTATTATGTTGTGTTAAGCTGTGGCCAATAAATATTTTTGCTTTTATATTCCTTAAATGATTGAGACACCAATACTTCATAAGTTTAAAATAGCCTGGTGTGTCTACGGCATAACACCCAGAAGGCACCCAATATCCTCTAAAACAGCCTTGGTGCAATGTCAGAGATCTTAGCCCTAATTCATACAGAAACTGAAGAATTTCTGCTTTGTACTTTCTTCACATTATTGTGTCAAAGAAACTGCTAATTTTAAAAGGAAGCAGAAATGTGTTTTTTGAAGACAGGTAGAAGATTCAAAACTGGTTAGATTTTGCTTTCCCAAACTTTTCTATATACCTATATGCTTATCCTTAACTTTCTCTGAAAACATTTCATAACTACACTTATATTTGTGCTCTATACCTTTATTAGAGGAAAAATCCTACTTCTAATGGTTTGAAAGAAATTGTCTTCTAACAAATCCAGTCAAGGCTAGAATCTCTTCAACTCATCCCTCCTTGTATAGGCTCTGGTTTTTACCTAACTACCACGTACATGCACAAGACTCTTACTCCACACTCAATGATCTGTGACCTAGCTGCAAATGGACCTTAGGATGAGCACTCTATAACTCTCCTACACTGAATGTGACACAATCTAAATAGTATTATTTAGATTACTTATGTAATACAAAGTAGACAATTGTAAGTTTAAATAGAAAACAAAACAAATATTGACAAGAAAGATAAATCAGTCCTGAGATGGAATCTTATAAGTCCTCTTATTGAAGTTTAAGTATGGACAGGAGTTTCAACTGGTGAGTCTAGAATAGGGCTGGGGAGAAGGCAAAATGGGAATAGAGATGAAAAAGAATTTTTTTATTATAGGCTTTATGCACTTTTAATTTTTTTAAACCATGAAAATATATGGTCAAAAGTTAAATATATTGAGAAAGAAAGAAATATAATTCACCAAATAAAATATAATTAACCAAATAAAATAGAAGAGAAAAACCATATGACCATCTCAATAGATGCAGAAAAAGTCTTTAATAGAATTTAGTGTCCATTCATGGTTTCTTTGAATCCAAAATGAGAAGAAAAAAAAATAGTCAAAAAACAAAACAATATAAAAAAAAAAATAGAGAAACATCATATTTAATGATGAAGCATTTGACACATTCTATTTAAAGACAGCAACAAAAGAGTGGTCTCTATCACCACTGCTGGTCTTCATTTTACTGTGCTTAAGAATAAATACATGTATTATGAATAGCAACAATGAAACATCATTGCGATTATTTGTAGATGTATGATTTTCTACATATACAAACCAAGAGAATCTAGAAAAATAAATCAATAATAGAATTCATCAAAGTTGCTTTATACGGGATCAATATAAGGAAATTTCTAACATTCCTATATAGCAGCAATTTTCAACCTTTTTTAACTCATGGCCCACATAAACTAATTACTAAAATTCTGATCTGAAGAAAAAAAAAGTATAATTTTAATGATTTGCAAATAATAATAATAGTAATACCTACCTACCTCTTTTGCTCCAAATTGACATGTTGTTTTTTTTGTTGTTGTTGTTTTGTTTTGTTTTGTTTTGGTTTGGTTTGGTTTGGTTTGGTTTGGTTTAAACACTTTATTTGGTGCTTTTGTGTGCACAGCACTACAAGGCTGTGGGGGTGGGCTCAGCAGGCCACCTTCTCCCCAGCCTCCTTTCTGAAACCACTCTCTGAGGCCCCAGCCTAGTTGTGAGCCCCTCTGTATCCAAGCCCCAGGGCCAGCTGTGTGGCCTGTAGGCCCCGCTTGCCCATCTGACAGAAGAAAATGAGGTTCGCATCCCCCAGCCTCAGCTTCTCCAAGGAGTACAGAGCCTGGGATGTTGAGAGCCTCCGGGATGGTTCCCTCGGCCACCACCTCACAAGACCTCACATGGAAGAGCCAGGCCTGGCCCTGGGCCAGGAGCCAGCAGAGCTCCAGTAGCCAGACGGTGGGCTCTGCGGCCCCCATGCAGCCAGGCCCCAAAGTGACTTTTAAAACAGACAGTTGCCTATACTTGTTTTAAGGATTTCTGGTACCAAGAATCAGCCAATCAGATGCAACCTTATTATGAGCCGTTACCAATAAGATGTAACTCTGTTATATTACCTACATACAGTATTTATGGTTCAAAACAGGGCACTCACACTAGGTTATTGTGTTGGCTATGGCCTTTTTTTTATTTGACAATCTAAGGGAAAAGAAGTTAGTGCCCTTGACTAAATAGCCATATATTGTATGTTATAAAATTTCTTGCTGCCCATAGGTTGAAAATTGCTGCTATAGAGCAACAATAGTCCCTCACACTTCCTAAAAAAGATCCATTAATAAGAGCAACAAAAACTATGAGATAGTAATTTGTTCGTTTAACAACAACTATTTACTGGGCAGGCCTACTCTATGCCAAATGTTCTTCTAAACTGGTCAGTTAGTACGGTAGTGGGGTGAGGGAGGATTCCAATGTTAGTGATGACAGTGGTGTATTTTATCATGCATTTTATTTTTTTTTTATCACCGATTGACAATAAATAGGCACATGATCTGGTTTGTTAGAAGGTGATCAAGCTGTCGAATAGAGACAAGTAGAGAAGGTTCGGGGACTTATGGGTTCCATGCAGGGCAGCAGTCCATGTGCAGTATTGAATGTGGTGTGGGTAGGCCTTTGGGAGTATGAGATTTGAGCCAAGATGAGGAGGAAGTGAGGGGATGAGCCACTGGGCTCTCCGGAGAAAGTGCTTTCTCAGACACAGCTAGAGTGAAAGCCCTTGGAAAAGAGTTCCCTTGCCTGGTTGGAGGAGGGGTCAGGACACCAGCGCTGGGGAGCCCAGCAAGGCAGGAGGAAGCAGGAGGGAGCAGGAGGAAGCAGGAGGAGCTGGAGCTGCAGTGGGAGAAAACCTCGGTGGGGGCAGCAGGAGAGTCATGTCAGCAGGGGCTTGTAAACACTGAAGTGTTTTATTCTGAGAGAAGTGGGGAGATGCTGGAGTGACATGATGGTATTTAACTTTAAAATAAATAAATAAAATAAAGCCACTGGCTGTCACTTGAGAACACAGTGTGGGAGAGGGTGCAGAGATGCAAGCACCATGATTCATGAAGGGGCTGTAGCAATTAGCCAGGCATGGCTGGAGACGGCTCATCCCCCAGGATACTAGTGAGATCATGAGAAACAACAGGATTCCGGATTTACTTAGAAGATACAGCCCAGGTGATTTCCTGTAAAAGGAAGAGGAGCCAAGACTCTTTGACCTGAGTAACTGGAAAGACTGAGTTGCCCTTAATTGAGATGAGAAAAACTAGGAGGAAGGGATTTTGAGTGGGAAGATGAGGGGTTCAGTTCATGACATCCTGTCTGCACTGTGTCTGGGAAAACTGTGCTTAAGTTCCTGAAGTCAATATTCACCACATGCACACACGCACAATATTCACCACCTGCACACACACACATTCCATTAGCAAATGCTCCCATGGATTCCTCCCAAATACTCCCTAAGCCTCTTTAATGAGAACAGCCTATTCAAAAGGACTGTGAAGAAAAGAGGCTTCAAGTTGCCTACAAGGAAAATAAGATCACAATCTAAAATAATTCAAACAAACAAAAGACCCAGCTGTTTTCAGATAAATTTTAAAACATGCAGACATGTAACAAAAACAACCAGTGGTTCCTCTTACTCCTGGAACAGAATGCAAAAGCCAGCTACCTTGTAGGGTGAGGTGATGCTGTCCCAGGATCCCAGGTAGCTGGAATGCCTCAAGGAAATGGGTTGCAGCCCTTAATATGTTTAACTCACTCATTTTTCAAACGTACTGCATAGTCATAGATAAGAAGTGACAATACTTTTCAAGATGGGCGGGCTTGGGTAGAAATATATTCATACCAGTGATATCAGCGGTATCACGTTAACGTAATTTCCTTTTACTGTTTCTTGTGACAATTCATGTCATTGGTCACCATGATTAATGATGTTCCCACCATATAACCACCCCCTGGAAGCCACAGGGAGCCAGGCCTTTGAGCATTAGCTCACCTGTGACTGCAGGCAGATGTGGACCACTTCCTAAAAATAAACACTTAATTTCTTTGCTGCAAACTCTTGTTTGTCTTATCAGGCCTTGATGCTTACAAGCAAATGGACCCCTTGAGCCTGGTAATAGTTGGCAGACATTCACACATTAGTGTGAATCAGATTGTTTTCCTCCAAACACTTGAGAACTGCAGCGCTGCATCTTTCATGAAGTTTTGCCCATCGTTTCTCTGTTGCCTCAGAACCAGGAGTCTCCCCATAGAATCACATTTTGATCTATTATCTTGAAGATGACCACGCAGTAGAGATGACTTCCCAGCCAATCTGCAAGTCACTTATAACGCTTGAGAGAGGTTGCAAGAACGTCCCAGCAGCTGCCAAGAATTCTTAATCTTGGGGGCTCTTCTTGCTCTCCCTCTCAGGGTTCAGCCTCCAGAAATAGGTAGTGAGATTTCTGTTTGTCTATAATAGGGGTGTCGAACTCAATCAGAGAAGGGGCCAAAATCTAAAATCCAGCCTAAATCGCGGGCCGAATGGTTTACTGAACAGTCATAAACTGTCATTGTGATGGAAACGCAGCGGAGTGCAGTGATGACAGCGTGGTGCGGGCCACATTGCAAGGCCTGGCGGGACGGATTTGGCCCGCGGGCCTTGTGTTTGACACATGTGGTCTATAATATAATTGTGCTGTCTGTCTTTTAGAAATTTTGGTTTGCTCTTTCCTTATTTATTATGAGAATAAACAAATCTTCTTTCTGTTAAACAACAGCAATTTAGAAGTCCAAAAACAAGGGCTGACACAGGGTAACATTTTGCTGCCAGCTTCCATTTAGTGGAGTCATCCATTGACCCAACAAACAATAGCTGCATTTATTTCCATTTTCCCAGACACCTCTACTGGGTGCTGTAGGAAATCCAGAAATGAATAATCCATGGCCCCTGTTTTTGAGAAGTTCACAGCTCTGGGGAAATCAGGCATGCAGAGAAATCTGACATGTGAATGACTGAAATGCCAGGAAGGATGGAGAATATTCTTTAATTGAGCAATAAGCAATGCTTCACAAGAAAACAAGAGAAAGGTAAGTGCTAAAGGGATCAAAAAGCTTCCTAAAGAAGGAATCTGTGCTGATGCTGTCACTCAAGGATGTCAACTAAGATCACAGATTTGCCTTCTAGGCGAGAATGGAAACCTGGAGCTTTAGATGGACCCTCTCTGCCCAATGTACTGACCTCTGCTGAAAATAAGACAACAGGCCCCCAAATAGAGTCATTTGGGGCTAAGCCTCATGTCACCAAGCCAAAATTAATCACAGTTCCAACCTCTCCTAGAAAGGGAATTTTAACAGGAAGCACTTGGTCAGCACTAGAGGCAATCTGCCTAATAAACCCCTCCACCCCCTAAAACACAGTGACCCTGCCATGAACTCCTTGCTTTTGCTGGTATAACTTCCTTGTCCCCACTCCATTCTGCATATGCGAGTCTTTCATTTTGTATAGATCAGCAGAGATCCTTTCTATAATATCTACTAAGGGAAGGTTCCTGATTCATGAATTGTTGAATAAAGCCCATAAGATGTTTAATATATACTTAGTTGAATTTTGTTTGTTTTTTAACACTCAAAATATTATCCAAGCATCCTGATTGTGGGTGCTTTGTCTTGCTTCTTGGCCAATTTCTGTTGGGCCCAATCTCGAATTATATACCAAACTCTGCTTATAATTTCTGTTTCTGCTTAGCTTTGCTGACTCACTTCCTGATACTTTGCCCCTGGTTTCCACTTTGCTAGCACACTCTATTTCCATTTGAGTCCTCCTCCTTTTAGGTAACCGAATTGTGACTTCAGGCTATTCTTGGTCTTTCGGCTTTTATCTTTCCAAGTCAATTCTAACACTATAATTTATGGTTAATGTTGAACAAGAAGAAAAAGAAAATAAGGAAAGAGAAATTCAATGCTGAGGGGTCAGACTAAACAGAGACTCAGGGGTAAGAAAGTATGTGGGAGGAACCAAGATGGCAGCATATGTAAATACCTGAAATTGCTGCCTCACACAACCACTTCAAAACTACAACTAAAAGACAAAATGGACATCATCCAGAACCACAGGAAGGCTGGCTGAGTGGAAATTCTACAACTAGAAGAAAAAGAAAAGCACACTGAGATTCAAAGGAGCTGTGGAAGTAAAGTGCATAGGTACTGAGGCATGCGTACGGAAAGGGCTGGCAACTGAGTATGTGGTTGTCTTTCTCAATCAGAAGGGAGACACAAGCTCCTGACTGCTCTGAACTCCAGTTCTGGGTGAGGATGTGGGGACTCAGACTCATATGGGGAGAAACTGGGCTGTATTTTTATTTCAGCCAACCCATAAAAGGCCTGTCAATCATAACATCTCAAGCTCAGATTTTTGATTTAGGGTTAGGGAAGAGGAGAAATGGCCTCTGATCAGACTGGAGATCCAGCCAGGATATAAAGTTCCAAAAAGGCTGAAATTCTACTAGACAAAAAATAAATGAAGGAATATTTGATTTAAACAAAGAGATAAAGCCTACCCACCCTAGCTGGCCTGCTCACAGCTATCAGGGGTGGTTTTGTGCTTGCGTGAGCCCAGAAAGCAATGACTTTCTTCATGGTTCCAGTGAGATTTAGTGAAACCACAAAATTAGGGAGCAATCAAACCAGCTCTAAGAGCCTTATTTATTAGAGTAAGTCTGGGTGACCCCAGTGGCAGACAATGCACCCATGATCCTATGCAATTTTAAACCATTTCTCTTCTTGTTTATAATAAACTTTGCTCTTCTGTTAACAAAGATGGATATCCTAGCCAAGCAAAAAGAATGAGGTTTGGGAAAACTCTTGATTGGAATAGCTTTCTCTTGTGAGGATATTCTCCTTTCCATTCTCACCATTAAATCCTCACAGTGTAGGGAGAAAAAAATGCCATTGGGAGTTTGTAGTGGAGATGCTTAAGAGAAAAATGACTTTTTCTCAACTTGCCCAAAGGCAGCTTTGATGATATCATAAAGAATTAATTGCAGAGCATCAGCCTGTGGACTGAAGGGTCCCAGGTTTGATTCCAGTCCAGGGCATGTACCTCTGCTGTAGGCTTCTCCTCGACCCCATGCTGGAGGCAGCCAATTGATGTGTTTCTCTCACACTAATATTTCTCTCT